GTGACCTTCTAGGAAGTTTCCAAAAATTGTGTAATTAAGGACAAAACATGCTAAAAAGTTAAGTATTGTGAAATAAAATCCTTAAGAGGCCAAATATGAGTGGTTCGTAACGACCAAATTTGCGACGTCTATAAAATTTAATAAAATAAAAAATAAATATTTAGCGACCGATTTAGCAACCGATTTATTCGGTCACTAATTTGGTCCCATACACTTCAGCGACCAGAATCGTTGCAATCATTTAGCAACCGAAAATTTCGGTCGCTAAATAGCGACCAAAATTTTTTTCTTCGCTAAATAGCTTAGCGACCAGGGTTTTAGCGACTGATTAAATTCGGTCGCTAAGGTAAATAGCGACCGATTTTTGCAATTTAGCGACCGATTTTGGTGGTCGCTAAATTGCATATTTTTTGTAGTATGACATGCAACAATTACAAATTAAGTAGATTTAGTCAAGTGACAACGTAGGTTTAATTTTTTAAATTTAATTTAAAAACAACTTAAGTGACTTTTGAATAACTTATTTCTTTCTACTCACTCAGATTCATGTAACAGCCCAATTTTTCGCTGAGCCAAAAAATTATTTGATACTTCATTTTATTAATTTAAATTGATGAATAATTATAAATTATTTTATATATTAATTTAAATTAATAAAACGAAATTTATAAATTTGACCTATGTATTAAAAACCTTAAATTTAACAATTAGATCGTTAAAATTTAATGTAAAATATGAGTTATTGAACAAAGTAAGTCTAGATTAGAATAAACGCATCACTCTCTCTATATATTATAACAGAAAAAGAGTAATGAATGAGACTTGAAATACTCGTTGGCATAGAATACTTTATTAATATTTATTATTTTTCTTGTTTATTTGTTTTTTTTTTCAAATCTAGCTCTTGTCCAGCCAATACTTTCTCTACTTCTCTCAATTACTCGTTTTATAGATAAGAAGGTATTAGGAATTAGACTTTTTGATAAAATGCAAATTCCATGTATAAAAGAACTTTAAGAAATTATTTGTTAGAATTAAATTAAAGCAAAAAGTGTTATGAAAGGTTTTTTTTTTTTTTTTGGTTAAAAATTACACTCTTCTCTACATGAAACTTTAACTATTTTTAAATTTTTTCGTTAAAATTTCATAAACTTTTGTTTTAAAAAAAAAGTCATTACCAAAATATTCTTTACACTCCTTTATTATGTTAAAATAAAGGTTTAAATATGTTTTTAGTCTCTGAAATTTAAGAAAAATTTATTTTTAGTCCCTCAAATTTAAAACTGTTATTTTTAGTCCCTGTAATTTTTAAAAATCTTATTTTAGTCCATCAAGTCACCAATAATATATTTAAAAGTGACAAATTAAAACGGTTATATAATATCAACTAGATTTAATGTGATGTTTTCACTAACAGAGATATCAATAGGTAGATTTTATGCAATAATGTATGATAAATTTTTTAACAAAATTTGAATATAAGGACTAAAATAAGATTTTTTGAAATTGTAAGAACTAAAAACAATAATTTTAAATTTGAGGGACCAAAAATAAATTTACTATAAATTTGAGGGACTAAAAATATATTTAAATATAAAATAAATGTTTTCCTCCCTTAATAAATTCAAATATATTACACTTTAATAATTTATCTGATAATTTGCATACTTAATTATTATTTTAAAAGTTATTATGAATTTTCTAAAATTATATATATATATAATTTATTTTAATTAATATCTTTACAAAATATTTAATCAATGAAGTTAATATAATTTGTTTTATAAATATTTAAATAAAATATTATTTTCATTACATATTATTAATTATATGCATTAAAATTAATATATAAATATTTAAGTATCATTTAATTTTTAGTAAAAAAATTATTTAATTGATATTACTAATACAATATTTTAATGATATATAAATAATTTAGGCTTTTATGGAAAAGTATTATTTATTATATTTAACTAATGTAATGCTAAAAAATATATATGAAATAATAATATTTAACTAAATATAT